ATTGAAGCCCAGTTTCACGGTTTAGGGGTATAACAAGAGTTGAACATCAGACTTGCTTGACAGATTAGGCCACTTAATCCAAAGGTGCATGTCATGGTCATTAGAGTTGGTATCCACATCTGATAAGTTTCTACTTTGTTGTTTTCTTGTTAGGAATCATCTCTTTCCATTGTCCTCTACTTTGTTCCTTTTGTCTTGTTAACTTCCTCTTTCTGAGTCTGTTTGGTCGGAACAAGTGAGAAATGACATCAAAATTTGCCACCAGCTTTCCAATTTCATAAACGGAGGCTGGCTACAACATCAAAGTGGCATAAGTCGAGAAAGAACAGTTTGCGCACTGAGTGGGTGGCAATCGGCGTGCTTTTGGATTCATGAGAAATGCAAAGGTTCGGTAAATGTCAATTTATGAGCAATGCAACGGATAGAGGGTATTGAGTTTGAATGAATCAGAGGTATTTTCTGCGATAAGGGTGACCGAGAAAGTGGTTAGTCAATAAGCAAGCAATGTCTTTCAAGGTGAAATCAAAGTCATCATGGCAAGTGAAGTCAAGGCCACAAACCAACCACCGTGTTTAAACTCACAAGTTTTCATTGTTTGAAACAGGGACGAAAGCTATGTTCATATCAAAGCTTGGAAGCTTGAATTTTTCAAGTGTAATGCCCCAGTTCTGCTTACGCAAAGTCTATTGGGAAGATCACACATCACCCCTAGGAGAAACACTTCCTAGTCTGGGTTTTCAAGTTATATTTTGTTGTTGTAGACGCACTTCATAAATTGAAATTTTACCCTTAGGAGACACACTTCCTAGTTTGGATCATATGAGTTTTAGTCACTGAAGTTTTCACCCCTAGGAGACACACTTCCTAGTCTTGGTCATTTAAATTCACCCTTAGGAGACGCACGTCCTAGTTGGAGTTATTGAAATTATACCCGTTAGGAGACGCACTTCCTAGTAGGGGTATTTCAAATTATACTTGTTAGGAGACGCACTTCCTAGCTTTTGTCATTTAAATTAATTCCTAGGAGATACACTTCCTAGCTTGAGTCATTGAAGTTTCACCCCTAAGAGACGCACTTTCTAGTCTGGGTGTTTCAGGTTATATTTTTGCTTTAGGAGACGCACTTCCTAAATGGATAGTTCATTCCTAGGAGATGCACTTCCTAGTTTGGAGTCATTGAAGTTTCACCCTTAGGAGACGCACTTCCTAGTCTGGGTATTTCAGGTTATATTTTTGTTTTACGAGACACACTTCGTACATTGAGATTTTACCCCTAGGAGACACACTTCCTAGTTTGAGTCATTGAAGTTTCACCCCTAGGAGACGCACTTCCTAGTTTGGATCTTTCAGGATACACTTTCAGGAGACACACTTCCTAAAATTGAGATTTCACCCCTAGGAGACGCACTTCCTAGTTTGGATCATTTAAGTTCAGCCCTAGGAGAAGCACTTCCTAGTTTGGTTCATTCAAGTTTCACCCCTAGGAGATGCACTTCCTAGTTTGGTTCATTCAAGTTTCACCCAAAAATATTTTAGTTTATGTATCTTTCATAAATTTAAATAAAACAATATACAAAAATAGTACCATATTTTTATTTTTATATAATCTTGAAAACACAAAAATAGTTTCATGTTTTAATATAGTTTAGTTCAATTAATTAAGATTAGTTTTATATTTTTATATTATAAATTGTATATTTAGAAGGAAGAGTTAGTTTTGGGTTGGTTTGTCCCATTTTAATCTTGTAGTCCATTTTTTTTAGTCTTTGGCCCAATTTTAAGGCCCAATAATACCAAATCCATACCCCCTTACCCTAAAAACCCTTTCTATATAACCAAAAATTAGCCTAAAATACCTAGACCCCTAGACATATACAGTCCGCCATTACAGACCTTAAGAGACCCACCTCCCACCATCGACTCATCTTCTTCAGCTGCTGAACACCAAAAACAACCCCCTCCCCCTGAACTTCCAGCACTATTTCTGTCCAAACGATCCTCACCTCGCAGGAAACCACCCAACCAGACCAGCGACCAACTCCGCCTAAAGTCGACCACCCACATCCTTGAAACTCACGTGACGCCCCTCTTCCTCACCACACAGCCACGCCGGCCACCACTCCAAGCCCAGCAACTCTGTCGTCAACCACCCCACCTAGCGCCTACATTCTTGGACTCACCTTCAAAAAAAAACAACACAACTCCTCCACCCCTTCTTCTGAAAATCAGTCCAACATAACACCGGAAAATGGTCTGTCCATTGATAAAATCAGAAAACAGAACAAGGTTTTGGGGTCGTCGTTTGTCACTCTGATTTGTCGCCGATTTGAGGTTTGAGTCTGCGAATCCGTGTTCGGGTATTCCCTTGATTGAGTGATTTTTGTTGTAATGATCTGTATTATGTGGCTGTCAGTTTGATGTCGATGTAAGGTAAATCTACTGTTTATAGGAAATGTTTTAACATTATTCATGGTGATTACCTAGTTATTTATTCCATATTTATTTGACAATGTCTTGAAAATGTGTTTCATCAAAAAGTCTATCCTGAATCTCCACTTAGGCTTCACATATTGTTTATAGTAAATAGATATACGCTTTTCTGATGCATAAGTGAGCCTTATTTAGTAGATATAGGATTCAGTACTAAGATGCCATAAATAGCTCTTTTGATGACTCTGGTTCACTTTGTTTGTTATTTTAGCTTCCCTTGATTCATGTTTTCTTTGAATGATCTTAACGTTTATTGGTCTAGATGTTTATTTGGTGTGTTCATACAGATGGTTTGAATGAATTATTTTGAATAATATTTTGGGCCTCAGAATAGGAGAAAGATCGAGCCCATTAGCTATGAAATATTGCTCACATATTTAGGAATCGGGCTCGGTCAAATGCATGAAATCTCTTTGAGTGAAAGTACTCCATAATTACACAATTCATGAATATCCGTAGCTGGCTTTTGGCACGTTTAATATACCATCGTGGTTGTGTACACGTTCGCGTGACATAATTACGATCTTAAAAACAAAATCGGAGTATGCGTTCGCACAACTTCGACTAATCTTTCTTAATAATAATAAAGCGTTATTAATTGTGGACACGTACACGTGACATGATTTTTGACGCGCCAAATAAATGGGTACGTGTACGCGTGACTCATTTCAAAATAATTTCTTAATTAAAATAGGCAAATGCACATAGGTTCTAAAATGAGTAATTAGACAATTTGATTAAGCCAAGTATGATCAAAGCGACCGTGCTAAAATCATGAAACCCGGGAATGCCTAACACCTTCTCCCGGGTTAACAGAATTCCTTACCCGGATTTCTGTGTTCGCAGACCATAAATTAGATTCATCTTCCTCGATTCGGGATTTTTAAACCGGTGACTTCGGACACCATAAACTATCCCATGTGGTGACTCTGATCTTAAATAATAATCCCGTTTCGATTGTCACTTAAATTAGAAAAACCCCCTTATACCCCCTTCCGGGGGTAGTAAAAAGGAGGTGTGACATTGGTTAACACGTAGAGAGATCTTGGAAGAAAAGGTGTGTTCCACCTGGAATCAACGAAGGACAGTCAACTACCAAACCACCTCTGTTTAATAAAAAATACTACAGTTGGTGGAAGGCAAGAAAGGAGGATTTCCTAACGGCTGAGGGCTATGAACTATGGACAATAGTGAATCGATGACCACTAACTCCACCAAACATAATGGGGAAAATGAAGCTATTCAAAGACCCTTATGAATTTGTGGCAGCAGACTTTAGGATGATGAAAAAAATTACAAAGGCCAAGAAGATTATCATATGTGAACTTGGTCCTGATGAATATAACACGATATCTGCCTGATCCAATACAAAGAAGATTTGGGATGCACTTAAAAGTGCTCATGAAGGAACTAATCAAGAATTGAGTTGCTCATGAGAAACTATGAGCTCTTCTCTATGAAGGAGTCTGAACCTATTCAAGAAATGATTACCGGGTTCACTATCATAACAAATGAACTAAAGTAATTGGGAAAGGTATTTACCTCCGAGGAATTGGTCAGTAAGGTCACTAAAGTCATTGATAAAGTTTGTGATGCATGTGTCAGAGGTAAACATGTAAGGCCATCTTTTAAATCTAAGAAAGTTGTTAGTACCTCCAAGACCCCTGGAACTTCTCCACAGTGACCTATGTGGACCAATGAGAGTTAAAAGCAGGAGAAGAAAGAAGTATGTATTTGTGATTGTTGATGACTTCTCTAGGTACACATGGACCTTCTAGCATCTCAAGATGAAACCTTTGGTGTATTTTGAAAGGAGAAAGGTCTGGCATTTGGTGCAAAGACCCAAAAACAAAACAGTTATAGGTACCAAATGGGTATCAAGGAACAAGCTGGATGAGCAAGGAAATATCACAAGGAACAAGGCCAGACTGGTAGTTCTGGGATACAATAAGGAAGAAGTAATAGACTATGATGAAACATCTGCTCCAGTAGCCAGAATAAAAGCCATAAGAATGTTGATAGCCTTTGTTGCTCATATGGAATTCACACTATATCAGATGGATATGAAGAGTGCATTCCTGAATGGTTACTTAAAAAAAGAAGTGTTTGTTAAACAGCTCCCTGGCTTTGAAAGTGAAGAGCTCCCTAATCATGTTTTCAAATTGGACAAGGCATTATATGGATTAAAGTAGGCTCCAAGAGCTTGGTATGAAAGGATCTCAAAATTCCTCTTAGCTAATGACTTTATAAGAGGTAAGGTGGACAACACACTATTTTTGTAGAACAAAGAAGAGAATCTTTTGATTATGTAGGTGTTTGTGGAAGATATTATTTTTGGGGATACACATGAAGCAATGTGCAAAGAATATGCTGATATGATGGGTAATGAATTTGAAATGAGCATGATGAGTGAGTTGAATTTCTTTCTTGGGCTACAGATCAAACAAACACCTACTGGAACCATGATTCACCAGTAAAAATACATCAAAGAACTCTTGAAGAAATTCAACATGGATTCTTCAAAGTCAATTGATACTTCTATTTCCATTGTAACAAAGCTTGATCTAGATGAAGAAGGGAAAAATGTGGAACAAAAACTATGCAGAGGAATGATTGGGTCACTATTGTATCTCACCTCAAGTAGGCCTGATATAGTGTTCAGTGTGAGTCTATGTGCAAGATTTCAGGCAAATCCCAAAGGGTCTCACTTAAAGGCAGTCAAAAGAATACTCATATATCTTAAAGGAACTCAAAATTTGCGTTTGTGGTATCCAAGAGGATATAACTTTGACTTAGTTGGTTATGATGGTGCTGACTATGCAGGTTTTCATGCTGACAGGAAAAGCACTCCAGGAACAACTCATTTCCTTGGTTATTGCCTTGTGTCTTGGGAAATAAAGAAGCAAAACTCAGTGGCCCTATCTACAGTTCAAGCAGAATATGTAGTTGCAACATCTTGTTGTGCTCAATTGCTATGGATAATATAGCAGCTCAAGGACTATGGTATTTTTGTTGATTGTGTTCATATCTTTTGTGACAACACCAGTGCCATAAATATCGCTAAAAATCCATGTCAGTATAAGAGGACTAAGAACATTGATATTAGACATCATTTTCTCAGAGATAATGTTGAAAAGGGAAATATCTCTATAAATTTCTATAAAAGTGAAGATCAAATTGATGATATTTTCACTGAGTAAGGACCACATTGAAAGAAACAGACTAAAACTAGGATTAATCAAGACCTTACACTAGGTTGAACCCCAATGATTGGCTAGAAAGAAAGTCAACAGTTTTAGATTGTCGAGGTATCAATCTTGATTGAATCTCATATTTGCTTTAAGTATACATACTTGCCCCAAAAATCTGACTGATGACTATGCGTTATGATATTGACTTATTGTGTCTGAAGTGTTACTGCAGAAACGAATAAGGAATTGTAAAGGAGTTGCTTTTTTGAATCAGGTACATGCCATCTTGTCTAAAGTCATTAGAACTTAATAACTGAAATTCCTGCTGCTCTCAAACTTCATTAATCTAGTAAGCATCACTTCTATCTGTTATCAAAGTCATGGATCAAGGGGGACTTTTGTAATTTAACTTCTACTAATTCTAAAAGTTTGTTCGTCAAAAGTAATCGTTATTAGAGTCATGTTAAACTCAAATCAATCTCTCTCTCTCTTTCTCTCTCTCTCTCTCTCTCTCTCTCTCTCTCTCTCTCTCTCTCTCTCTCTCTCTCTCTCTTCGAGGCAAATTAGAATTGCTATCTTTAAAAGCCATCTCTTGGTACCTCTCAAAAATTCAGTGTTTCTCTCCAACCCTAAGCGAGAACCAAAGAAAAACACTTCATTATCTCTTCACCACGAAGAAGCCTAGATAAATGCCTTCATAGACAAAATCATCATCAAAGACTGGGTCTAAATCCAAAATCGGGAAGTCTAAGCCAAAGAAAAGTGCAAAATCGGTTGTCAGTTTTGAACCATTACCTCCTATTTCTCCACCTATGCCCTCTAATGTCCCTGCACCATCACCCATTGTCAGTGTTCCACCTCCAACTTCTACCCTCGCTGCACTTTCATCTCCAGAACCAGCCACCCGTGCACTTGTAACCGTCCCACAAATCACCTCCAAACCCACAAGGTCAAGGTCAGGAAGTCGGTAAAGTGTGAATAGCCAGTTGATCGTGTTGTGGCTAAGAGAGAAACAAAGGTAAAAGGGGATACTACTCAGGGGGGAGGGGGAATCCTGCATTCGTCAAGGATGCTTAGGTAAAACCTCATCCATCAAAACTTAATGTTCTAGCATCTTCAATTGAGGTGTCCCCATTAGAAGTTATTGAACCACTGAGTGATACACCACATGTAGAAAGTACTACCGTAGAAAAAGGAAGTAGTAGCACAACAGAAGAGATTAGAAATAATTGCAGACCTGCCTATGGTTGAGGGGGAAGGTGAGAAAGAAACAGGAGATAACGAAGGTTCCGATAAAAGTTCTTATAGTTGGACTGATGATGAGGAGGATGAGCAAGCGAATAAGGAGGGAGAAGGAGAAACAAATAAGGAGGGAGAAGGAGTGAAGGAGAAAGATCAAAGTTCTAAAGAAAATAATAGTGAGATTGAGGGTGAATCTGTCACGCCCCGACCTCGGGGAGCACGACCGGTGCTCAACCGAGTTACCCCAGTCAAGCAAGCCTATACAATGCCTTCAACCCGAACATACCGATGAGTAAAGAGATGATATATTTCATTAATTGGACAATGGGGAGATAATGTATACATCACCAATTCATTACCATTAGTTACTTCATTTTAAAGTCCCAAAATACACACACTTTCATAGCTTGAAGTGGAACAAGTGATTCAAACACAACATAACTAGTTTGACATTCCCAACACCAATATACAACCCACACTATGTCTACAGAGCCTCTAACAGATACAAAAGAGTACTATGATAGTGTCGGCAACTAGCCGGCTATACCTCAAGACACAATACATAAGAAACAAAAGATACACGGCCCCAAAATAAAGTGGGCTCACCAAATCAGCTGGGTAGAGGGTGTACCGCTATCATTGATCAATGCCGCCTGCTGTGGAACCACCTGCATCCATTAAAGATGCAGCGCCCCCGGGAAAAGGGACATTAGTACATATGGAATAGTACTAGCATGTATGACTAAACGCCCTCTCAATAGAATGAGTGATAATACAAGAAAGGACAATCATAGGATCAATGGAAGTCTTAAACAATACCAAAACAACAAGTTAGGAACAAGACAAGTTTTCAAGTAAATTTCCATTATTTTAGGTTGGGAGATCTTAGTACCGATATACCACCGTGATTTTAGCACGGAGTCCAATCATGGACCTATCGGCTAGGCCGTCTCACCCAAAGACATCAACCACAATCACAATCACTATCACAATCTCAATCATTATCTAAATCACAATCATCAGCACCATGTGTGCGGCATGGCGTTCGATCTCGACCCAATCGGCTACGCCATTTGAGCACAATGCCATGTGGATCAACTTCATCCTTCGCTAGCAATCATATCATCCCAATTAAGGGGAATAATTTCATCATATCAATCTCATCCTAAATAAGGGGAATAATCACAATCCACCCTACATCGGCACGTGTAGTTTCGGGGTTAGGTGATTTCAACCTACCCTTCCTTGGTGACTAACGATACTCCCAAGATTTTTTGTTATATAAAGGACTTTTAGCTCATTTCATAGTAGTTAAACATCTTTTAATTTCATTAGAACTAGTGGCAACAAACATAATAACATTCTTGGCACGTCGGCCATATTACATATTTCATTGCTCCCTTCTTTCACTTTCAAATATCAACATGGGCTATCAACAACAAAGCTTTTCAAATTATGACTTTAAGTAAACATATGAGCAATTAAGAGTCTTAAGCACATTGAGATTTCTTGCACAATTTGGCATAATAACTTTCATTTGAACACAACTCGAGGTCATAACATTTTAATACACAACCCATACTTTGAACACATTCCTGAAGGATAACATAACATGATAAGAGAATCCGGAACACACTTTAAACACATATCATTCAACACAGACTTATTAGGAATAGTCAAATTTATAAGGAATAACTCAAAACACGGGAAATAAGGGCTTGGCCCTTCATACTTGAACCTTACGAGAACACCGGAGGAATTGATTCTAAGAGAGAAGCTTAGCCAACATACCTCATTTTGAGCTTTTCTTAAGTTACTACAATGTTCCGGAAATCCTAGCAATCCCAATCTATTTTGAGACATAGCAAAATTGAACACAAATTAGAAAGATAATCATGGTTTCAGCTCATTTAAACATTTTATCAAATACTAGGTGTGCATCATGATTTCAAGGTCCTTCTACAGTGGATTCCTTTATCCCACAACCCAAAGTCTACCCATTTGAGCTCAACAATCTTCCCACAAACCTTGTAGGCACATGCATGTATGAATAATACTCTCACACCCAAGAATCACACTCCCCATTACCCATCTTCTATCACAAATTTGAAATTGAAGACTGGGGCTAGAACCTTACCTCTTTAGAAGACAACTTTGCAATTATTCCTTGTGGATTCTCCAAGACTAGAGCAAGGATTGATGAATAAAGGCTTAGGCATTCCTCCTCTCACTCTAGAGCACTTTCTTCTCTCTAAGATAGCAGTTGGAACCCTCTAAAATAACCCCCAAGGGCGTTTTATAAAAATGAGGTCGGGTGAAATTTCCCCAAACTTAAGCTTACGAAGTCGAATCTGCGGTTGCAGACCGGACCGCAAAATGACTATGCGGCCCGCAAAGAGGATCGTAGAAATGGTCCAAAAGATTGGGTTGCTCAGGTTGGGTCTGTGACAAGTTTGCGATCCGCAGACCAGTTATGCAGTCACATAACATATCGCAAAAGTCTCCCCCCAGAGTTTTGATACTGAGCCTGGGATGGAATGTGCGGCTCGCAAAATGATCCTCAAAAATTGACTTTGTTTCAGTTGCACTCTGCGGCTGATTTGCGGCCCACAAAGTGACCCTACGGTCACATAATGGACCGCAGAAATGACATCTTTTACAAAATTATTCTTCCAACTCTCTGACGTACTGTACAACCCAAAAAGTCCGACAGCTGCTCCCAAGCTCGCCGCAAAGAATTTCTACAAACCTGAAACACATAAGCCCACCTCGGCACCACGAAACCATGGGTTCTAGTAATTTTTTTTTACGAGGCCTTACAGAATCAGGTGAAGGGAAGGAAGGTGAGATAGAAGAACAACAAGGTGAACAAGTGGGAGATTTGGAAGAAGAAGAAAAAGAAAGTGAGGGAGAAGATAACTCTGAAAATGAGGGAAATAAAGAAGAAAAAGAAAGTAAAGATAAGAGTTCTAAAAATCTTAATATGAGGAAGACAATGCAAGTGAGGAACTTGAAGTCTCTATGACGATTGGGAATACATTTATGGCCCTTTTGGAGGAAGTTCATGAAGAGGAAGGGTCGGAGGAACCTATGTCTTCCTTAACTCCTTTCATAGAAGATGAGGAAGTTGAAAGTGATGAGGATGATTTGCCATTGTATGAGGTAGGAAAGAAGAATAGGAAAGCCCCTGCAAAGCCTGAAAGAACAGCTTCACATGAAAGAAAGGAAGTGGCTCCTCCTATTAGGACTCCTCTCACCAGGATCAAGAGAAAAGTTATTGATGCACAAATGATCAAGGAGACCAGGAGTGCCAAGAGGAAAAGAAAGCAAGCTCATGTTGCTGAAGTTGTCGTTGAGCTGGATGTGGACGATGAACCTGGTTCATCCCTTAAGGATAAGAAACCATCAGCGATGAAGATTGCTGCCAAACCTACCAAAGAAATTGCCACCTCTCCAAAGCCTAGGAAAGTCAAGAATAAAAGGATTGAGTTAGGAATACTTGATAGGCTAGCTAAGTTAAACCCCAGAAAAGTGTTGAATGGGAAGATACTTGC